GTTCCACTGCCACATGGTTATTTTCTTATAATTCTAATAGTATTAGCTTTATTTCTTTAGAGGAGGAGAATGAATCCTTGGAATGAATAATTGTCTTTATTAAAAACTCAGTATTTTTATGATTTCTCTTCTTAATGATTGGGCAACAACTTTCTTTGCTGTTTTTGGATGCATACTGTAAGTATGGGAATGTTGAGAAAATAATTTGGTTAGTTATAAGAATTTTTAAAAGTTTTTGTTGTTTTCCAAGTATCAACTGGTATTAATAGCCCTGACATGTTCATTTAGGTTGAGAACTTTGCATGTATCAGATATCATTGCAGGAGGAAAGATAAAGTAGTTGGCTAATATTTCACTAACATTGAAAAGTGTATTAATACATTGAGATAGCAAGGTATTACTACTGAAAGACAAGGAAGTCAATAGAATATATATAATCTGTGTCATGAGATAAATGTGGAGCATAAGTATGTTCTAAGATCACTATTCTTTAACATTCCCTTAATCTGGAAGGTTAAAAAGAGATGACTAAGCTATCCTGCTTTATAGAGCACAAGAATGATTTAGCCATTAGTATGTTTGAACCATGTGAATTTAAGGATTTTTCTTTTCTTTTCTAGGGTTTTCTCTGAGCTGAACTTGCTCCTCAATAAATTACGCAGGGAAAATGGAAGATGCATACTATTGTAGATGGCCAGAACTTTGTTTTATATGCAATTAATTTTATTTTTTACATTGGCCTATCACAATTACTTTACTTAGAAGGTGATGAGAGAATGTGTTTACCTAGTAGTAGGATTGGACTGAATGGAATAATTTGCATAAAAGCAGCATTGAGAACCCTCAGTTACACAAGTTAGACCTCATTTTTTTAAGTACTTATGAATCTTACCTAATTCTGTAACTTCCATTCAAACATTTGGTATACTGTCCAAACATGGAACAAGGTTCCTAAATAATCCTTCTCTAATTTTTTGAAAACTTAGTAACTTAAGTAATAAGAAGAGCAAAGTAAGTGAACAAATTATTGTATTTTTTCTTTTTTTGCTGATTTATTCTACATGTTGTTTTCTAGTTATCTTTGATGTGTTGCCTCATGCTTAATGTGAGTGGGATATTGAACATTACATATCTTATTAGTTAAGGCTTTTTATTAGGTTTTCATTGTTATGTAGCATTTAGCCTCCTTGCCCTTTGGTCTTAGAGTAATTGGAATTGCCTTTTAATTCTTCTGCATTGTGCTGAGAATCTTATTTCTATGAACAAGATAATGTCTACTTTTCCAATAATTTGTGTCTCTTCTCTATTTGTTTTAAGTAACGTATTGGCTTTGTTCTCAAATGAAGCACTGATTAGCAGTACAAAGTGTTGACAATTATTGCCTGTTTTAAACTGGCTGACATGAGCTGTTACAAAGGCCCATCCTTTTCTCTCTTTATTCTTGTCTTGATTCATGGTCTTCTCCCTGTGAGTAAAGGAGAGAGATCACTAAAAGAGCATTAAATTGCTTGGCTTCTTTTAGAAATAATCACTTTAAAAATTATTAGTAATGTTATATGATTTTTCCCACATACATGATAACTTACACTGGCTTCTTATTAAACCCATTACCTAATTTTTTTTTAATATAGTAATGTACCATGAGATACGAGAAGAGGTAAAATTTGTTTTCCTCTGCAGAAATTGAACCCATTTAGCTATTTGGTAGCTTTCTGATCAGTACCTCTTCTTAAAACTCTCAATCTAACTGAAATTAATATCTTCTTCTTTCTGTTTTTCTCTAATTTGAGAAGTCTAAAAATTAGATACCAAAACTTTTATGAATTATGCATACGATGAGAACAAATCACATCTAAGTTTAAATAGAGAATGTTTTCTGCTGATAAAAAGAGTATAGCAGAAATTAGTATGTTCATGATAATGGCTGTATCTGGGTAGATAGTTAGGGTGCTAATGCTCTTGTTTCCAGGTATTGGTTACTCTGGGCAGCTGGCGTTCCTGGACCAGAAGCTTTACTTCAGGAAAGCAGCTGCTGGGAAGACTTCCATTCATCTAATGTTTGCCTCATTGGGGAAGAGGCTGAGTAGATGAGAGTATTTCTAGTATTTCTCATTACATGTTTACTTTGTACTTAAATCATCATTATCTGGTACTCTAATTTTTTAATGATTTTCACTTTCTTTTGTGGCTAGTGTTTTACATCTGAAAGTTATTTATCTTTATTTCATTTTTGCTGTCTTGCTGAATTTGTTTAGAATTCAGAAAAACACTTGAATCCTGCAATTCCCAACATACTGAAGTAGTGGTTCTGCCCATGTTCATCAGCATAGAGTACATTTCTTCAATGCTTTATTTTTTGTTTTATGTTAGGTCTTGCCCTATAAAAGTAATTGGAACTTTGACTAATGGCTTTGCTTACTCTGGGATTTGGAGTACATGTTAGAAACTTCAGGATTTGGACTTTTTCTGTGGACTGGATTTCTTGATAATCTCAAACAACATATTCAATTAGCTAACTAGGATAAATGTCAATGAAAATAAACTATAAAACTCAGTCTTATAAAGCTGATTTAAGAATCCAGTGGTAAAAAGACTGGCAATTTCAGCTGGACAATACAGACCACCTGGATTCATTTCCTTTCCAAACTTCTCATTAGTAGATAATAAAAGTTCAAAAGTTTTCAACATAGTACCTTGTACATCTCATTATTACAATGGGTCATCCTGTATCCTTGTTTCAGCATTTTGTTGTTTCCCTTCCCCTCCCCATATTAGAAAAAAATGTATATACAAGATTCATGTCAACAGAATCAAATACAGTGACAACAGGGGTTATACCATGGGGGAAGAATATACAAAAGAAACAACAAAAAAAATCACAGAGTACATTAAAAGCAATAGCAACAAAGAAAAACCTCTTGTGTCCCTATCTTGGGGTTCATTTTGCTTAGCATCATCTTATATGGTCATAAAACGCACTTTACAACTTGAAGGAGGGAGCAGTTGGGGAGGTGGAGAGGAAAGGGATAGTAGGGGAAAAACAAAGGAGGGGGTAACAGTGCTGAATAGAAAATGTACTCATTACCTTACTCATGTAACTGCTCTGTACAGTATCTTTACAATTTAAAAAATCAATCTGAAAAAAAAGTTCAAAAGTTTGTAGGATATAATAACTTGCTTGAAAGATATTGAAAGCTTTGTTATTGTCTCTAAACATTTATCATATTAAAATAAAGCATTTGGAATTTCAAATGATGATAACTAGAATGAATGATAATAAATGTAAATTTAACTTGATTCTGGAAATTTTAGGTAGTTAAAAAAATTGATCTTGCCAGATCTTGCTGGCTCATGCCTATAATCCTAGGTACTTTAAGAGGCTGAGATCTGAGGATTGTTGTTCAAAACCAGCCCGGGCAGAAAAGTCCCCGAAACTTTTATCTCCAATAAACTACTCAAAAAATAAAAAAAGGAAAAGAAAAGAAAAAAGAAGTGCTGCTGTGGCTCCAAGTGATAGAGGACTTGCCTTGAGAAAAAGAAGTTCACGTTTCAGGGATACCACCCAGACACAGAGTTCAAGCCCCAGATCTGGCAAAAGGGAAAAAATCATCCTGAATAATTGTTCTCCTTAAAATCATCTTGTATAAAATGAAATCAGATATAGCAAGACTCTTTTAAAGTTATAAGAAGTAACTAATGTGCATTGGCATCTGAACATTTATTACTTCTCACCTCTGCCCAGTCTTCTTGGGCTCAAGACTAGATATTGCTTTTCCTAACTTGATAATAGGGTTAAGTTATGAGTTAGAATCTTTTCTGTGAAAGTAGTTGTTTGATATAAGCACTTTATTTTAAAGGTAGTAGCCAACATGTGACAAGAAGCCATTTTAGTGAAGCCACATCCTGTTCTAAGAATTGTTTTTGTAGGGGCTGGAGCTGTGGCTCAAGTGGTAGAGATCCAGCAGTAGAAGAACTGTTTTATTTATGCCCATTTGACTAGGTGTCCTGCCTTTGGTTGCTGGCTCAGATAAACTTTTAACCCCTTTCAATCTAGCCAATTGTACAAGATTGTCAACCTGAAAAACTAACTTGCAGTCCAACAAAATGAATAACAGGAAATTGGCACTTGAAAGATGTGTGTGTGTGTGGAATGATCTTAGAAAGACGAGTAGATGAAAAAAGAGAGAAGGGGAAAAGAGGGAAAAGGGAGGATGCCATTATGATATACAATATATATCCTAAGAAATTAAGAAAAAAGTGGGGAGGACTTGAGTTGGGATGGAAGAGGGGAATGATGAAAGAGGTGGCATCAATCAAGATGAATATGCTCATAAACTGATTTTTTGAATGGTAACTTCTTTGTACAACTACTTCAAGAGATAAGTGGATAGATAGACCCATCAAACAAAGGATAGAGAGAGAGATTGATGGGTAATGAATGCATTGATAAATAGATTGTGAATTTACCTTCTAACCAATCAAAGCAAACGTCAGTATCTTTTAGAGATAAAGTCTGGGAGGACCACCTTCCCAACCCCCTTGCTGACTTGGCCTCTTGTCACTAACTTGCCCTTATGTAGACATAAATTTTGAATTTACTTCCTAGTTTACTTGCTGAGTTCCTTTTAAGTGCCCTTATTCTCATGTGACACCCCAATATTCCCAGATATTTCCAACAATAACCAAACAGTTTGCTTTGATTTTCTCACTCATCCAAGAGATGAGAACTGTATTTATCAATCTGTGAAATTACAATTTGAAGTCAACTGGATACAGGCAAGACTGCTCTTTCTACTTTAGTAACAAGCCTTTTCCCTGAGGCACAAATAATAGTTGTTTATGTATATGCAACTCCATATAATTCTACAGGATTGTTGAAGGGGACATGATGAAGACTATCTGATATTTATTTCATAGAAATGATAACATAGTAGATTATTCCAGGCAGTTTTACAGAGTAGTCTGAAAGTTGTTTTTTTTTTCTTCCTTTTATAATTAAGGTGACAACACTCGTCAACACAAGCAACAAAGGCCCATCTGGTAAAAAGAAAGGGAGGTCAAAGAAAGCCCATGTTCTGGCTGCGTCTGTGGAGCAAGCCACTCAGAACTTCCTAGAAAAGGGTGAGCAGATTGCGAAGGAGAGTCAAGATCTCAAAGAAGAGTTGGTAGCTGCGGTGGAGGATGTGCGCAAGCAAGGTAGGCAGGATCCTAGAGATTGGGATGGATGGATACGATGGACCAAATGATGGATTTTTTCTTCAGCATCAATAGATACTTGATTAATAGACTCATTGTTTTCACTGTCTATGCTAGACGTTTCTATTAAGGGCTGGAATTGATTGCATTAACAGAGATTTACTTTATTTTATTATTATTGTAAAGGTGATGTACAGAGGGATTACAATTACATAAGTGAGGTAATGAGTACATTTCTTAGTGAACCTTTTTACTCTTTCCTCATTTTCTCCCTCTTTCCCTCCCCTTCTCCCCCTCCCCCCCCCCCCCCCCGGACTTCCCCAACTCCAAGTTGTAAAGTTCATTTCCAACATAGTGTCTTGTGAGTATTGCTATTGCATTGGTTCACCCTGTGTCCTTTGTCTCACCATTTTGTTACATCTTTTCCCTTCCACAAATCAGATAAGCATATGTACAAGATATAGGGTACCTATAGGGGATAAACCAAAGGTCGGGGGAACATAGTATATTAAAAACAAAAACTAAACTAAACTAAACCTCTCATTTTCAGATTTTGGAGTTCATTTTGATTAGCTACTTTTTATATGGTCATGTGTGCATAGTTATTAAGCTTTTGAGATCTCTGCTAGGACTATCCTAGACATATACTAATTATTACAAATGAGGGAAACCATGGAGCCTATGTTTCTTTGGATCTGGCTTACTTCACATACTATGACTTTTTTCCAAGTCTTTCCATTTCCTTATGAATGGGGCAATACCATTCCTTCTCATGGAAGAATACAATGCCATTGTGTTTATATACCACATCTTCTTGGTCCATTCATCTACAGAGGAGCATCTGGTTGGTTCCATATCTTAGCTAAGGTAAATAATGCTGCATAGCTGTGCTGTTAGTTTTAGTGTGGCCTTGTTTGTGATAATTTGTATAAATGCCCAGGAGTGAGATTGCTGGTTCATAGGGGAATTCTATGTTTAATTTTTAAGGACCCTCCACACTGCTTTCCAGAGTGGTGGAACCAGTTTACATTCCCACCAACAGGATAGTAATGTTCCCTTTTGGCCACATCCCTGCCAGCATCTATTATTATTCCTTTCCTTGATAAAGGCCATTCTAACTGGGGTAAGGTGGAATCTCAATGTAGTTTTGATTTGAATTTCTTTATGGCCAGAAATGTTGAACATTTCTTCATGTGTCTCTTGGGTGTTCTTATTTTCTCTCCAGAAAAGACACTTTTTAATTCTTTAGCACACTTGTTAATGTGGTGCTTGTTTGTTTGAGCATCTGTTATTGGGGGATTTAAATTTTTTTGAGCTCTAGGTATATTTTTGGTATTGTCTATAATATAGCTTGCAAATGCTACAGTTACAAATTTCCTATATCTGCTTTTACTACAGAATATTAAATTGATCTCCGTAAATGAAAACAGATTCCTATGTTGAACTCATACTTCAGGGATGATAGAGCGGAAGACAAATATAAAACACCATGAGAAAACCATTGTTCTGATTCCTGAACCTATTTTCCAATCCAAACCCTTCCTCCCATGTTTAATTATCAAACTATCTTGTTTTCATTTATACCAAAATATGCATAGTATAAAATTAGCATCTTAACTCTTTTTAAGTTTACAGTTCAACACCGTGTCATCATTCTCAAAAGGCAATCTCCAGAATTTTTTCTTCTTGCAATGTTGAAACTATTTACTCGGGTCTCTACCTGCCCTTCCCCCAAACCATAAGCAACCATCATTTTTTATTCTGAATTTGCCTACTCAGAATGAAGATGTTTGAAAACACTTGCCCTCTTACTTCATGTAAGTGGGATCCTACAACATTAGTTATTTTGTGACTGGCTTATTTAGCTTAGTGTAATCTTTTCAAAGCCTATACATATTATAGCATGTGTGATAATTTCCGTTCCTATTATGGCTAAATAGTATTCCTTTATATGTGCATTTATTCTTGTAAACATGGACCTTTGAATTGCTTTCACTTTGGGTCTATTATAATGATATTGTTATTATAATACACATGAATGTATAACATCAGTTTGACACCATGTTTTCTATAGTGGTAGTACTGGATGATATTGAATTAATTTTCATTTTTTTAAGAACATTTATGTCAGGCTGGGAAGGTGGCTCAGTGGTAGAGTGCTTGCCTCGCATGCATGAGGCTCTGGGTTCAATTCCTCAGCACCACATAAGCAGGAAACGCCAGAAGTGGCGCTGTGGCTCAAGTAGTAGAGCGCTAACCTTGAGCTGAAGAGCTGAGGGACAGCACCTATGCCCAGAATTCAGGCCCCATGATCAGCAAAAACAAAAACAAAAACACTCATGTCATTTTCTGTAGTAGCTACACCATTTTACAGTTGTATTAATAGTACATAAGACCTCTAGTGTCTGCATCCTTGTGAACAATTTTTTTTTACTTTCTTTTTCCCAAATAGTAACCACAATAATGGATGTGAGGAGATAGTGCATTATGATTTTAAGTTTCATTTCCTTAAGGGCTTGTTAGGTATTTATATATCTTCTTTAGAAAACATCTACTCAAACTCTTTTCCCATATCATTATCAGATGATGTTATTGTAATTGAGTTTTAGGATTCTTTATACATTCTAGATGCTAACACCATTTTACATAATGCTGTATAAAATATTTTCTCCATGTTCCACATTCTCATTTCCCTCTTTTGATTGTGTCCCCTGATAAACAATATTTAAATTTTGAGGTACCCCTATATAACAGCTTTAGGTGCAAATTCTAATGAGCAAGAATAAAAGCAGATAGCTATTCTCCAGCTTTTTGAACGTTCCCCCATTTTATATGCCAATGTACATCACATAAATCATTCCAGTTACAAATGATGGGGATTTTGCTGTCAATTCCTATTACTTCCACTTCTTTCAAGTAAAACCTATCAAAAGTCCCGGAAATCTTATCTCCTAAGTACATATTTAATGGGCTAAGTCCAGTCTGTTATTCCAAAATACCATGTTTTACCTGCCCCTGTGTTTTTATATGTGTGCTCTTATTTGAAACACTTAAGGGTCATCCCAGCTCAAAGACCAGCTTCTCAGGGAAACTTTTCCTGATACTCATGTTATGTTTTTTGTGTCTGTGCCAGACATGGGACTGGAATTTAGGGCCTGTTATCTGTCTTTAGCTTTTTCACTTGAAGTCAAGGCTCTAGCACTTGAGTCACATTTCCACTTTGGGATTTTTGCTGGTTAATCAGAGATAAGAATCTCACATATATGTCTGCCCAGGCTGGCATTGAATCACAATCCTCATATCCTAGTCTCCTATGTAGCTAGGATTATAGGAATGAAACACTGACAATTAGATAGTTCTGTCATTTATTTTTTATCACAGAGTATTTTGTCACTGTCCACATAGTAATGAAACATTTGTGAGATGAATTTCTTTCTTGCTACATTATATATTAATGAAGGCATAAATCAGACAATGTCACTTCTGCTGATCATTGATTTGTAATACCTAACACTTACAAAATTTCATAAATGCATGGTGAATTGATAAATATATAAGTAGATGGCTAGATCCAGTCTTATGGAAGCCCTATCTTTATGTTTCTTTTTAAATTTTTTTTTTTTACTATTCTTTTTTTTTTTAATTTAATTTTATTTTATTTGTGAACATACTGTACAGAAGGGTTACAATTACATGGGCAGGATAATGCATACATTTCTTACCAAGCATTGCAGCCTCCTCCTTTGGTTTACCCTTCACCTCCCTTCCCAGCCTCTCCCTCCCCACCAATCCCAATCCTTCTCCTTCCCCCCATTCCCCCCTCCCCCCGCACCGACGTTGTAAAGCTGGTTTTGGACATGACAACTTGTACTTCTCATTGTTGCAACAGGTCCACCTGTATCCTTAAACAACTGGTTTTTTCCCATCTCCTCCACAAGTTATACTGACATCAAATATAGTGAAAGCAGGGGTTATACTGTGGGGGAGGGACATACAAAGCAACAAAGAGATAATCTTATAAATGCATTAGAAACACATGCATGAAAGAAAAAAAACATTAAAATACATATCTAAGGGTTCATTTTCCTGACATCACATTATCTGACCTTTTCCGCTTGACTCATACATATACTTTTTTATTGCCATTTTTATCATTATTTTTATTATGAAAATACCATACAGAGGGGTTACAATTATGTGGGCAAAGTAATGAGTACATTTCTTATCAAGCATTGTTGCCTCCTTTGTTTCCCTTACCCATCCCTTCCCATTCCCCACCCCCACCCCACCCCCAGTTTTAAAAATTTTTATAGTGGGTATTTATAGTGGGTATTTAGAATGCAAACCTTCTTTCTAAACCAACATCAGCTATACTGCTCACATGGCCTTTGCCTTCCTTATCCCCTCTCCCCCAAGTTAATTTCATTTATACTAAGTGCATTTGAAAATGGGTATTGCTTCTGAATGGCCTGTATTTATAACCTGGATAGTTACTTTGCTGTTGTTTGCTCTCATATAACAGTATTATATAGAAATGTCCATGTTACCCAGGTGACTGTGACTCAAGCCTGTAATTCAGCGTTCAAGAGGGTGCAGTTTGAAGCCAAGGCAGTCAAATCTGTGAGACACTTATCTAGTTGGCCAGCCAAATAGCAAATGTGAAGCTATGGTTCAATTGGTAGACGACCAGTTTTGTTTCTGTCCTGGGTCTTGAATTAAGGGCCTGGGCACTTTCGCTGAGCACTTTTTTAAGACTAGTGCACTACTACTTGAACCACAGCTTTTTAGTAGTTGATTGGAAATAAGAGTCACATATTTTTTGGTCCAGGCTTATTTTGAACTATGATCCTCAGATCTCAGCTTCCTGAATAGCTACAATTAGATACAAGAGAGCTACCAGTGCCCAGCCAACCTCCTGTATTAAACAAAGTAAAGCTAAGGGACTGTGCTCAGCCCTGAGTTCAGTCCCCAGTGCTGGTGCCCAGGTGCATGTGTGCATG